ACACTCACCCACACACACATACACACACACACCTACACACACTCACACACACTCTGTCACACACACACACCCCTCCCACACACACACACATCTCAGCTTAAATCATTGAAACATAGGAACATAGAAAATTGGAGCAAGAGTGGGCCATTCGGCCCTTTGAGCCTGTTCCATCATTCAATATGATCCTGGCTGATCATCCAACTGAGTCCCCTGTTCCCACTTCCTTCACTAACCCTTTTGATCCCCTTAGCCCTAAGAACTATATCTAACTCCTTCCTGAAAATATTCAATACTTTTGCTCAACCACTTTCTGTGGCAGAGAATTCTACCACTCTCTGGGTGAAGCCATTTCTCCTCACCTCAGTCCTAAATGGCTTACCCTGTATCCTTAGAGGGAGAGGGTCTGAATGGCCTGCTCTCCTGCAGGTTCAAATCCCATCACGGCAGCTTATAAATTCAGTTCTAGTTATTTCAATTAATTTGGAATTGAAAGCTAGTCTCAGTAATAGAGTCTTCACATATAAACTCATCTGGTTCACTAATGTTCTTCAGGGAGGGAAACTGCCATCCTCACCTGGTCTGGCCTACATGTGACTCCAGCCCAGCAAGCCTCTCAACTCAAGCAGCAATTAGCGATGGGCAATAAATGCTGGCCTTGAAAGAAAGGCTTAAATATCTAAGTTTGAGTTCTACGCCACACTGTGGCCTCTCTGCCCAATTCAGAAACGCTGAGTCATACCAATTCCTGGAACCCTCTTCCCATTCCCCTACCTTCGGAAGTCCAACAGTGGCCGAGTGGACGATGGGATACCCTCTGCTGGCCAGCTCAGGAAGTGAAACTGGGTCAGAGTTCGGGTCTCCTGAGATTGCAGATTTTTCAGATAGAAGCTACGGACCAGGAAATCTTCACACCAGATGTGCTCAGAGACCAGATTGACCTGTGGAAGCACCAGAAAAGGGTTATGAACGCACCTCAAACTGGCAGTAACCTTCATCGGGTCCAGAAACGATAAAACCGCAGTTGGACTCCCCAAGTGCCTCGGTGGATTCCTGAAGCATCTTTCATGATCTCACAAAGACCCTAACAGTTTTAATCCAGTGAGAGATAGTAGGAACTGCCGATGCTGGAGTCTGAGATAACAAGGTGTAGAGCTGGATGAACACAGCAGGCCAAGCAGCATCAGAGGAGCAGGAAAGCTGCCGTTTCGGGTCTGGACCCTTCTTTTGAAGGGTCTGAAGAATGGTCCAGACCCGAAACGTCGGCTTCCCTGCTCCTCTGATGCTGCCTGGCCTGCTGTGTTCCTCCAGTTCCACACTGTGTTATCTCTTTAATCCAGTGAAATGCTTTTAGAAGTGAAGTCCCTGCTGCAGTGCAGAAAGAACAGCTGCCAATTAACATACAGCAAAATGCCGTCAACAGCAATGAGGTAAATATCAGTCTCCCTCTGTTTTTAATGATATTGGCGAAAGGATGAAAATTGGGACATGACACCAGGGAGAAGGCAGCCATTCCACACATTTAACCGATTCCTGTGTTTTGTAAGGCTACAGCTGATCTGATGTGACCTTTCCTGTCCCCGATAACTATTGATTGGCCTGACGTTGAAAAGTCTGTGCGACTCTGACTTGAATATGTTCAACAGTCATTGGGTCTCGATTGCCCTCTGCAGACAAGAATCCAAAATGTAAAGACAGTGTCTTTATATTTTTCTGTTTTTTTAAAAATTGTGGTCTGCAAATGAGAACAGCTTTTAAACCAGGGATTAGAAGGATTGCTGCGTGGTGTGAAAGCAAGAAAATTGTGAACACTGTTTGCACAGCTACCTCTTACAACAGTGGTCGCAGACGAACTGGAGCCAAGGGGTTGTAGACAAATGGAGCTAAATTGTTGGAGCTAAATGATCTAAATGGTTGCCAACAAGCAGATGATTGGTTTGTGGACCAGTGACAAAGATTTTCTGCCTGCCAACAATTATGTGATTGGTCCGCAGACAGGTGAACAGCTTGGGACTGGGTAAAAGATACAGAGCATGATCAGATCTCCACCAATTCAGGGGGCTCTGTGTTCTCTGCAGTAAAAGCCACTTTAAGCCTGAAGAAAACAAACTTATCTTTCCATCAGCAGTTGCTGTCAGCTGTGACTTTTAGTCAACCTTTTATAAGTGAACCAGCCACCCAATGCCTCTTGTGAACTAGCAGAAGCATTTGGAAAATGTAGACTGAGAAGCAACATTACAATCAGCAGAGAGATCATCTCAGTTACATTCTGGGCAAGAATCACTGAACTGTGTTCCTAGTCTCTCCCTCGGTCAATGACACCCTGGTTTTTTACCCCCCTCTATGTCTGTTTTGCGTGTTTGTATAAGAGGAGTTTGTAAGGGGATTAGTGTTTTAACTAGTAGAGTAATTGGCCATTGGTTCATACCTTGTCTACCTGCAGCTACATTCTATTTATTTGCAATGAGTGCTGTTTTATGCTAAGACCAGAAATTTAGTCCCACTCCTGTCAACCTGGGTCTAAAAGACAGGGATATTAGGGAACTTTGTGTAGTTATTTTAAGATCCAGGAATAGAGGGCCTTAATTCCCAGCATGCTATCCCCAGTTACAGATTCCCCTACAATGGGAAAAAGTGCTGTCAGTGCCAAGCCCCCTCAGAATCTTGTGGGTTTCAATGTGATCACATCTGATTCCCCTTGATCCCAGCAGATCTCGGAACTGCGTCTAATTCAGGTTGATCACTGAGCCTACCTCGTAGATGTGGTAGAGAGAAGAGCCTTCGTCTGGCCAGTACCGGTCACAATGCTTAACGCTGTCTTCCACCAGAGGGGTTAGCATGACAATCACAGTGCAACCATTCTCCCACACCATCTGTAACCAGACATAATACAACATCAAAGTGATGGAATTAGACCATTACAAACAGGAACAGGAGTTGGCCATTCAGCCCCTCGAGCCTGCACCGCCATTCAATAGGATCGTGGCTGATCCAACATTCCTCACACCCCCTTTCCCACTCTTTCCTATAACCCTTGATTCCCCGACTGATCAAGAATCTATCTATCTCAGCCTTAAATATACACAAGGACTCCGCCCCCACAGCTCTCTGTGGCACGGAGTTCCAAAGACTCAGAATTCTCTGAGAGAAGAAATTCCTCCTCATCTCAGTCTTAAATTGGTGTCCCTTTATTCTGAGACTATGCTGTCTGGTCCTAGACTCTCACAAGAGGGGAAACGTCCTCTCAGCATTTACCCTGTCAAGCCCCTTAAGAATCAATACATTTCAATGAGATCACCTCTCATTCTTCTAAACTCCAGGGAGTAGAGTCCCAACCTGTTTAGCCTATGCTCATAAAACAATCCTTCCACACCAGGGACCATCCTAAATGAACCTTCTCTGAACTGCCTCCAATGAAATAATATCTTTCCTTAACTAAGGGGTGGCATGGTGGCTCAGTGGTTAGCACTGCTGCCTCACAGCACCAGGGACCCAGGTTCGAAACCACTCCTCGGGCAACTGTCTGTGCGGAGTTTGCACATTCTCCCCGTGTCCGTGTGGGTTTCCTCCCACAGGCCAAAGATGTGCAGGTTAGGTGGATTGGCCATGCTAAATTGCCCCATGGTGTCCAGGGATGTACAGGCTGGGTGAATTAGCCATGGGAAATGCAGGGTGATTGAATAGAGGGGTGGGTCTGGGTGGGATGCTGTTTGGAGGGTCAGTATGGGCTGAATGGCCTGCTTTTGCACGTAAGGAATCTATGATTCTAAGGGACTAAAATTTCTCACAGTACTTCAGGTGTGGTCCTTGTACAAGTACCCTCAGAATTACTTCATCAAAGTTAAATGAACGTTATAGAATTGAGTTGTTGAAAGATAGGAATGCAGCCAATCCTTACACATGTTCCTGAGCATTTGTTGACAGAGATCCAAGGTACAAGCCTGAGCCTCCAAACTCATCACTGGAAAAGTTTCAGTCTGTTCCTATGCATCCCTTTCAAGCAAATGGAACAAGCTGCACCACATTGAAAGATGATAGGCAACAAAAATCAAATGAAACTTATTAAACCTGGATACAAATTTGCTTGTGTGAGATGGTGGGGGCAGAGAATTCACTCCATCTCCTGCAGTGCCCACTGCTCACATTAAGGCCTCGAACATATCCCAGTGGAACCCAAGTGCTCCTTCTCCAGGGACACCCAGGTATGGATATACCTACAGAGGAGGGGGGCTTGAAACCAGTCACCTCTAATTACCCAAAGACCCCTCGCAATGCCACACTGCATGCAGTCAGTGAAACTGTGAGAAGTGGAACTCACTCACCTGCCAGAAGTCCGAGATGGTGTGCGAAAGGGGGCCTTGGGTGGCAATGTAGGCTGGCATTCGGGGATCATGGTCAATCTGCGAGGGGAACAAACACATGATAGGTTGAGAGAGAAAGAAACAGGGCTAGAGAAATCTCCAGCTCTCACACATGGGATAGCCCTTGAGAGACTCAACATTGCGAGTAATTGAGGCCCAGCAGAGATCGCTGCAGGACACCCAGTAGTCACATCCTGCCAATTTGAGCACTTACTCATTATTCCAACTCTCTGTGTCCTGCCACTCAACTAATTTTTCTATTCACATCAGTAACTTGCCCTCAATTAGCATTTCAGTTATGCCATCTCCTTCTGTATGTTCTATTTCCCTTTTAGCTTGGCTTGCTTTGTCCTTCATTGCCTATCCTTCCCTTCCTGTTGCATTCGGAAGATCTTTCATTTCATCCCTCATTTGGCGACAGTCTTCTAAAGAAATGAAGAAGGGTCACTGGACTCGAAACATTAACTCTGCTTCTCTCTCCACAGACGTTGCCAGACCTGCTGAGTTTCTCCAGCAATTTCTGTTTTTGTTTCAGATTTCCAGCATCTGCAGTTCCTTGTTTTATTTGGGCGCAATCTTTAATTGCTTCGACAAGATATCCTTGGCTTTTGCATCATGAAATCTTTTGTTCTCTAATCTCCCCTGGCTTCCAGCCTACGACAGACCCTCTCCTTGAGTCTCCCTGACCCTTCTTTTCTTCCAGTGCTGTAAAACCTCTCACACTTCTATCGCTGTCCAGTTCTGATGAAAAGTCATTGACCCGAAATCTTAGCTCAGTTTCTCTCTCTTGCCACAGAAGTTGCCAGACCTACTGTATCTTCCCATGAGTGGAATCAGAACAGTTACAGTGCAAATGGAGGCCATGCTGGCCGTTGAGTCTGTACCTGCCAACTCTCAGCAAGAGCAGTTGTTCGTCCCACTCCTCCAGTGTACCTCCAAGAGTCCTGCAAATTTTTCGTCTTCAATTCTTTCATGGGACATTTTATTTTTGGGAGACCAGAATTTGCGGCCCATCCCTAACTGCCCTTGAACTGAGTGGATTGCTTTGCAGAGGGCAGTTAAAAGTCAACCACATTCCTGTGGGTCTGGAGTCACATGGAGATCAGATGGGTAAGGGTGGCAGACTTCCTTCCTCTGCAATGCATTCATGAACCAGATGGGGTTTTCCCAACAATTGTTGACAGTTGTTATAGTTTTCAATTCCAGATTTATACATTGCATTGAAATTCCCTGGGTACCATGGTGGGATGAGAAGCCAGGTTCGCAATTATCCTCTGGAATACTGGTGCAGTGATGTTACTACAATCCACCATCTCCTCCCAGCTCTTCAGATAATTAGATCATGCTCTTTAAGCTATGTTGGACCCTTCCTCCTGCACCCTCTCAGGCAGTCTGTTCCAGATTACACCCAGTCACTGTGTGAAAATATTCCTCCTCCTCTCGTCTCTGATTCTTTTGACAATGACCTTAAATCTCTGATCTCCTGTTCTCAACCCTTCTGCCAGTTGGAACAGTGTCTCCCTCCCTATTCTGTCAAGGTACATAGGAGCAGGAGTAGGCCATTCGGCCATTCAAGCCATTCAATAAGATCATGGCTGATCTGTGGCCTTACTCCATATGCCTTCCTTGGACCCACATCCCTTGACACCCTTGCTTAATAGAAATTTGTCTACCTCAGATTTAAATCCAACAATTGAATTAACATCAACCACCATTTGTGGAAGAGCGTTCCAAACCTCCCCTACTCTTTGTGTGTAGAAGTGCTTTCTAACATCCCTCCTGAATGGCCTGGCCCTAATTCTTAGGCCATTCCCCCTAGTTCCAGAAGCTTCAACCAGAGGAAATAGTTTATCTTTACCTACCCTGTCTTTCCCTCTTAATATCTTGAAGACTTTGATTAGATCAGCCCTTAACCTTCTATATTCTACAGAATAAAGGCCTAATTGTCTAATCTCTCCTCATAACTTACCCGCTGAAGTCCCGACATTATCCTTGTAAACCTGTGTTGAACTCCCTCCAGGGCCAAAACATCCTTCCTACGGTGTGGTTCCCAGATCTGCTCACAGCACTCTAAGTGGGCTCTAACTAGGGTTCTGCATCATGTCTGCACCCCCATACTCCAGCCCTTTAGATAGAAAGGTCAGCATTCTGTTAGTCTTTTGGACTATTTCCTGCACCTGTTTGTGGCATTTTAAAGAGCTAAGCAACTGAACGCCCAAATTTCATTGGACATCCACTGTATTTAACTTTGTGCCTTCTAAAGGTTACCCTGATGTATCCTTTCTCGATCCAAAATGGATAACCTCACACTTGCTTTTATTAAATTCCATCGGCCACAGCTTTGCCCATTCACTTAATCTAGCAAGATCCTGTTATAATTTTATGCTGTCGTCAACATCGTCTATAATGCTGCTCGATTTTGCGTCACTGGCAAATTTGGATATTTGGTTTTTTATGCCAGTATCCAAGTCATTAATGAATATTGTGAATAACCAACACCCCAACACAGATCTTTGTGGGATATCATTAGTCACATCCTGCCAATTTGAGTACTAACCCATTATTCCAACTCTCTCTTTCTTGCCACTCAACCCATATCCTATCCTTGTTAGTAATTTGCTCTCAATTCTGTGGGCTTCTACCTTAGCTAACAGGCTCTCGTGTAGGACTTTATCAAAAGCCTTCTGGAAGTTCATGTAGACAATATCCATCTCTGTCTGCTGCCTCTGTCAACTCTTTAAAAAAACTCTACGAGGCTTGTCGGCCATGACATACCCTTTGTGAATCCATGCTGACCATCCCTGATTAACTGTGATTTTTCAAGGCAATCAGTTACCCTATCCTTCGTTATAGACTCCAACAATTTCCCCACCACAGATGTCAGGCTAACTGGTCTGTAATTCCCAGGTTTCCATCTGTCTTATAGAGCAGAATAATAGGAACAAGTTTCCATTCCAGAGGTACAATTCCAGAACCCAGGAATCCAAGATTATGGTAACGTGCTCTCCTATAGGGATACAGACATGATGCAGAACCCTAGTTAAGCCCACTTAGAGTGCTGTGAGCAGATCTGGGAACCACACTGTAGGAAGGATGTTTTGGCCCTGGAGGGAGTTCAACACAGGTTTACAAGGATAATATCAGGAATTCAGGGGGTAAGTTATGAGGAGAGATTAGACAATTCGGCCTTTATTCTGTAGAACATAGAAGGTTAAAGGGTGATCTAATCAAAGTCTTCAGGATATTAAGAGGGAAAGACAGGGTAGGTAAAGATAAACTATTTCCTCTGGTTGAAGCTTCTGGAACTAGGGGGAATGGCCTAAGAATTAGGGCCAGGCCATTAAGGGGAGATGTTAGAAAGCACTTCTACACACAAAGAGTAGGGGAGGTTTGGAACGCTCTTCCACAAATGGTGGTCAACGTTAATTCAGTTGTTAAATTTAAATCTGAGATAATACCAGTGGATGGAAACCTTTAGGTCCAAACCCCTCATGATTTTGAATATCTCAATCCAAACTCCTTTCAGACCTGGAAGTGGCCCTTCAGCCCATCAAATCTGTACTGCCAAAAATCTCTAGAATCACTCATCGCTATTCTCATGAATTTTTTTTGTACTCCTGCTAGCTCCTTCACATCTGTCCTATATCTGGAGAGCAGACACAATTATCCAGTTGAGGTTGAGACAGTGTTTTGTGAAAACAAAAACGAAGAACTGAGGGTGCTGTAAATCAGAAACCAAAACACAAGTTGCTAGCAAAACCTGGCCTGTCTGGCAGCATCTGTGGAGAGAAATCAGAGTTAACATCTCTTGTTTTACGACCCTTCTTCAGAACTGTTTGTAGCTGGAAGTAGTTGGTATATATGCTAGAGAAGGGGTGGAGGGGGGTGCTTGGGGAAAAGGCGAAGGAATAAATGATAGATGGAGATGGAGCTCAGAGAGAGACAGTAAAACAACTAGGCAGACTAAGAAATGAATGAAGGTCAGTCTAGGAGAATGAGTAGCTGCTAACAGGGTCCATTAGTGGCTGTCATTGGGTTGTTTGTGGTAACAGCCCATAGTGTTGAGTGAAGGTGCACTCAGCCTATCCACAGCTTTGTAAAACACATTGCATGTGGAAAGACAGAGATAACAAGGTGTAGAGCTGGATGAACACAGAGGCCAAGCAGCATCAGAGGAGCAGGAAGGCTGACGTTTCGGGCCTAGACCCTTCTTCAGAAATCATGTGGAAACACAGTTGTTATTAATTGCCACTCACTGATCTCACTCAGGATTTTATAGCAGTCACCAATGACAAAAGAAACAATTATTTTCATGGCCGCAGTTCCAAATGATAGCAATTTCATCTTTCTTGCTTTCAGGACAAATTACAGATGCCTCGCTTGTCTTCCAGAATATATCTGATGTACATGATGTGTATAACTCACCTGTCCCACTTGTCCATCACAGAAAATCCACTGGTAACAAATAAATAAACTCTACATTGTACATAAAAACTGAAAGAACTGCAGATGCTGTAAATTGGGAACAAAAACAGAAATTGCTGGAAGAGTTCAGCAGGTCTGGCAGCATTTGTGAAGAAAAATCAGACTTAACATTTCGGGTCCGGTGACCCTTCCTCAGAACTGATGTGGCATCTTATCAGAACTGATGTTAGCTGGGAAAATCTCTGGTCTATGAGCGAGCAGGACCCTGAACTCCCTGTTGCTGGTCATTTTAACACAGCAACCTGCTCGTGTGCCCATGTGTCTGTCCTTGGCATACTGCAGGGTGCCAGTGCATCACAGCGCAAACTGGAGGAACAACATCTCACCTTCAGGCTGCCCAGGCAGCATCAGAGGAGCAGGGAAGCTGACGTTTCAGCTCGGGACCCTTCTTCAGAAGAAGGGTCCCGACCCGAAACGTTAGCTTTCCTGCTCCTCTGATGCTGCCTGGCCTGCTGTGTTCCTCCAGCTCCACACTGTATTATCTCTGACTCCAGCATCGGCAGTTCTTACTGTCTCATCTTCAGGCTGGCCACTTTACAGCCTTCCAGACTTAATATTGAGTTTTAACATCTTCAAATTGTGAACGAACTCCTATTTCTTCCCTTTCTTTTAACTTGTTATCATGTTCTCTCTCCCCTCCTCCCATCCCAGTGGGACTGTCTATTTCTTTCAAGTCTGGCAGTTAAACACACCATTGTTCTGCCATTCTCACATTCCAATCACCTAACTGGAACTATCAACATCCTTTCTCCCACTGCACTCCATCCCCACCACCACTCCCAACTATAGGATAAATGCAGTCCCCTCCACACTTCACTTCAGTTCTGATGAAGAGTCATCTCTCCACGGATGTTGCCTGACCCGCTGTGATCTCCAGCATTTGTTGTGTTCAAACCAGATGGTCCACCTGGCATCAACCTAGACATTGGAAATGATAACGGCAGAAACAGCCCTGTCAACCCTGCAAAGTCCTCCTCACTAACACTTGGGGGCTTGTGCCAAAATTGGGAGAGTTGCCTCCAGCTTGAAACAGTCATACTCATGGAATCAGACCATAAAGACAATGTCCCAGACACCACCATCACCATCCCTGGATATGTCCTGTCCCAATGGCAGGACAGACCCAGCAGAGGGGGTGGCACAGTGGGATACAGTCGGGAGGGTGTTGCTCTAGGACTCCTCAACATTGACTCTGGATCCCATGAAGTCTCATGGCTTCAGGTTAAACATGGGCAAGAAAACCATAAATATTCCCATTGTCAATGTTGGGGGAAACCAGTATATCAGCACAAAAGATAAAGCTGAAAAACTTGTAACAATCTTTAGCTCAAAGTGCCAAATGGATGATCCATCTCTGCCTCATCCAGTGGTCCCCAGCATTTAAGCATGCAGTTAAAGTGAGAAGGGCAAAGTTCAAAAGAGATGTGAGGGGTGGGTTTTTTTTTACAAAGAGAGTGGTAGGAGTGTGGAACATGCTGCCAGGGGTGGGGGAGGCAGATACAATTGGGGGCCTTTAAAGGACTTTTAGATAAGCACGTGAATATTCAAGGAATGGAGGGATATGGACCAAGGGCAGGCAGAAGGGATTAGTTTAATTTAATGAGATAACAAGGTGTAGAGCTGGATGAACACAGCAGGCCAAGCAACATCAGAGGAGCAGGAAGGCTGACGTTTCAGGCCTAGACCCTTCTGTTTAGTTTAATTTAATGTTATGTTCAGCTGAAGGGCCTGTTCCTGTGCTGTACAGTTCTGTGTTCTATTATTCCACATGATATAAAGAAATGCTTGAAGGCAAAAGTTATGCATCCTCACAAATTGCTGATAATAGCTGATTCTTCAGAACTAGCCTTGCGCATAGCTGAGCTCATCCAGTACAGCTACAACACTGGCATCTACCCAACAATATGGAAAATTACCCAGCCATGTCCTGTACTCAAAAAGCAGGACAAATCCCTCCCAGCCAATTACCACCCCATCAATCTACTCTTTGTTTTTGAAGTCATGAAAAAAATCGGTTCAGAGATAAGTTTCAGAGAAAAAAGACATAATTGTATTTTAATACCCTCTATTATTTCTATTTTCTCCTGGACATTTGCACTCAACACTGTCCCACTGATCTGCCTGTACCGCTCGTAAACAAAGCTTTTCACTGTATTTTGGTACATGTGACAATAAAATCAATCAATCAATCAATTAGCTTTGAAGGCATAGAGTACAACAGCAAAGAAGTTCTGACAAATCTGTATAAAACACTGTTTTGGCCTCAAACAGGGGATGGTGCTGTTTCCGGGCAATGTAGTCCAGGAAAGATGTGAAAGCAGAAAAGATTTAATGGTGTGAGGGATGAGAATCTTCAGTTACTTAGAAAGACTGGAGATGCTGGGGTTGTTCTCCAGCAGAACTGGAGATTAAAGGGAGATTTGATAGTGGTGTTCAAAATCAAGAGCAGGTTTGGACAGGGTAGCTGCGGAGAAATGCTTCAAGAAACAGATGGCACAGAATTGAGGGGCTTGGCTAAAGAAGCAACAGAGAGAATGGGGAGGTAGTTGCTTTCTGCAGTGAGTGGTTAGGATCTGCATGCACTGCCCCAGGGTGTGGTAAGAGGCAGATTTACCTGTGGCTTTCTAAAGGGCTACTTGCAGCAGTTGGGAGTGCGGAACTCACTTTGAGTTGCTCTTGCAAAGAGAATTGGCAATGGGCTGAGTGGCCTCCTTCTGTGCTGTAACCATTCTCTGGAGCAATCCTGGAGGGTTGGCAACCCATGCATGCAAGTTGCCACTCACATACGTTTCTAAATGCAAAGCTGGCCTTGAACTCGAGTCAAATCTCGACTTCACTCCAACTTCATTCATCAACTTCATGGGAAGTCAACAATGTTGTGACCTCTGACCCTTCAGCCTGATGCCCTGATCATTTAAACAAACACTGTATTGACTTACGATTGGACTGGCGTTGATAAAATCTGTCCTGGATGGGTTGACCTCTGCTTTCAAAACCATACGGTTGTGGTCATCTGGAAAACAGAGACAAAAATTAGCACAACCTTGTCTAGTGCCCATCTTCATTCCCTCCCTGTTTTCTTCTCACTTGTCTCAACTGTTGATATTTTTGTCTCTGAATCTACCCTCAAAATACAGCTCATCAATGGGCTCCATTACTGCCCTTGGGTTCCTCAATGACCAACTCTCAGGGTAAGCTTATCAAAACAAAACAGAAGCTAGAGTAGGCCATCCAGCCCCTTGAACCTATTCCACAATCCAGTGAGATCATGGCTAATGTGCATCCTGACTCTACTCAGTCTCCTTGGTTCCACCCAACCTCAGAATTACAATTATAAACTGAACTAACCTCTTTGTGGAAGAGGTGTCCTCATGTTTACCATTGCTTGAATGAAGAAGTGATGGCCTGAGTTGATTTTAATGTTAGGCCAATGACACAGAGGGATGTGGGAGTTAGTGTGGGGAGAAAGTCCTTGATCTGGATGATCGGTATGTAAGTACTGAAGGACAGAGTTGGCTCGATGGGCTGAATGGCCCACTCCTGCTCCTATGTTATGTCTCCTTGCCCTGGAATAGCCCCAGGCCCCACCAGTGAAGTAGGTATATGTCTATCATCCCAACCACAATTCTCCTCAGGATCTCAGACTTGCCAAAGTGTCGAGCTACCAACCAGTGCTTTAGAATTGTGGTCTCTATTATTGGAATTACAGACAGCAGCAAAAAGAAAGCTATGATAATGACAGGATAATCATTGCTGAGAAAATTACCTGAAACACTGGGGGAACACCCCCAGTACTGCTCATTGTAAACTTACAAAATTCTTAAAAGGCTAAAAATCTGTAGATGCAGAAGAGATACAAACAGATGTACAAACTAATGGGTTAGGAGTAGGAGTAGGTCACTCAGCCCCATGAACCTGTTCCACCATTCAATATGATCTGGTTTGATTGGTTTACTCCAAATTACCATTCATTCCCTGACAATCTTTCACCATAATCCACCCCAGCCCTGCCCCATGTTTATCAAGAATCTATCTAACTCAGCCTTGAAGCGACTCAAAAACTACCCTTTCACTGACTTTTGAGAAAGTGTTTCTGATGACCCCCTGAAAGAAAAAAAAATTGGCTTCATCTTGGCCTGAAATGGATAACCCTTTACTTTTGAACAGTGGCTCCTAATTCCAGATTCTGTCACAAAAGGTAACATCCTCTCCAGATCCACCCTATCATGTCTTCTCAGGATCTTATATTTTCAAACATGTTGCTTCTTACTTGAATACTCCCGGGAATATAAGCTTAACCTGTCCAATATTTCTCAGATGACAACCTGTCCATTCTAGGTATGGGTCTAGTACACCTTCTCTGAACTGCTTCCAAAGCACTTTCCGCAAACAAGGAGACCAAGGTGGTGCACAGTACAGGCAGTCCCCAAGTTGTGAATGGGTTCCTTTCCTGAGTTTGCTCACAAGTCATGGTGGCTCAGTGGTTAGCACTGCTGCCTCACAGCACCAGGGACCCAGGTTTGATTCTAGCCTTGGTGACTGTCTGTGTGGAGTTTGTGCATTCTTCCTGTGTTTCCTCTGGGTGTTCTGGTTTCCTCCCACAGTCCAAAGATGTGCAGGTTAGGTGGAGCGGCTATGCTAAATTGTCCATTATGTCTAACGATGTGTACATTAGGTAGATGAACCATGGCTGTCCTGAGGAAGGATCACATTAACTTTGATTTCTCTCTGCTGGCACTGCTAGACCTGCTGAGCTTTTCCAGCAAATTCTGTTTTTGTAACCATGGAAAATGCAGGGTTACAGGGTTAGGGTAGTGGGCTCAGTCTGTGTAGGATGTTCTTTAGAGGTTTGGTGTGGACTTGATGGGCCAAATGGCCTGTTTCCACACTGTAGGGATTCTATGAAGTCGATTTGTACTTAGGTCGGAATACAATACAGGACAATATAAAATAGCCATTTGTCAATACAGGAAGCATTCGCATGTTGGATCTTTAAAATTACACCCCCATATGGGATTGCGTTTGTGAATACAACTGTTTGTAAATCAGAGACCCCTTGTACTCCGGACGTGATCTGACCAGTGCACTGTATGACTGAAGCATAATCTCCCTGTTTTTGAGTTCAATTTCCTTTGCAATAAACCACAACTTTCTATTAGTTTTCCTGACTACTTGCTGTACCTACATTTTCACCTTTTACAATTCACCACCAGGACATCCAGATCCCTCCACATCTCAGAGCTCTGCCATCTCTCACCATTTAGATAATGGGCAATCCATCCAAGAGAATCATAGTTTACTCCTGCATTTAGGAGGGTGCCTACACGGTCAGCTACATATCTATGCAATAATGTAACTTGTCCATATGATTTTGTATCTTTTGGCTATGCTTCTTAAGCTTTTCGAAATGGAACTGCGGAGGTCTACAAAGGAAATGATTAGCTGTACATATTGAATAGAATATACAACAAATTATATACTCTACATTTCAGTGCAAGAGACAACTTTTTGAGACTACTATGTAAATGGTGAAAAACTGCAGCATGCTGCTGTGCAGAGGGATCTGGGTGTCCTTGTGCATGAATCACAAAAAGTTGGTTTGCAGGTGCAGCAGGTAATTATGAAGGCAAATGGAATTATGTCCTTCATTGCGAGAGGGATGGAGTTTAAAAGCAGGGAGATTATGCTGCAGCTGTATAGGGTGCTGGTGAGGCCACACCTAGAGTACTGTGTACAGTTTTGGTCTCCTTACTTGAGAAAGCACTGCAGGGGGTGCAGAGGAGATTCACTCGGTTGTTTCCAGAGTTGAGAGGGATGGCTTATGAGAAGAGATTGAGTGGAGTAGGACTACACTCATTGGAATTTAGAAGAATGAGGGGGGATCTTAGAGAAAAATATAAAATTATGAAGGGAATAAACAAGATAGAAGCAGGGAGGTTGTTCCCACTGGCAGATGAAACTAGAACGAGGGGGCATAGCCTCAAAATAAGGGGCAGCAGATTTAGGACTGAGTTGAGGAGGAACTTCTTCACTCAAAGGGTTGTGAATCTGTGGAATTCCCCACCCAGTGAAGCAGTTAAGGCTTCCTCGTTGAATGTTTGTCAGGCAAAGATTTTTGAACAGTAAAGGAATTAAGGGTTACGGTGACCAGGCTGGTAAATGGAGCTGAGTCCACAAAAAGATCAACCGTGATCCTATTGAATGGCGAAGCAGGTTCAATTGGCTGGAAAGCCTACTCCTGCTCCTATTTCTTATGTTCTTATGAGGCTGATAGATCATAGAACATAGAACAGTACAGCACAGTACAGGCCCTTTGGCCTTCCAAGCCTGCACCAACATGCTGTCCGTCATAACTAAAACCCCCTACCCTTCTGGGGACCGTATCCCTCTATTCCCATCCTATTCACATATTTGTCAAGACGCCCTTTAAAAGTCACTATAGTATCTGCTTCCACTACCTCCCCCAGCAGCGAGGTCCAGGCACCCACCACCCTCTGTGTAAAAAATTGCCTCGTACATCACCTTTAAACCTTGCCCCTCACACCTTAAACCCATGGCCCCTGGTAACTGACTCTTCCACCCTGGGAAAAAGCTTCTGACTTCTGTCCATGCCCTTCATAATCTTGTAGACCTCTATCAGGTCGCCCCTCAACCTCCATCGTTTCAGTGAGAACAACCCAAGTTTCTCCAACCTCTCCTCATAGCTAATGCCCTCCATACCAGGCAACATCCTGGTAAAGCTTTTCTGTACCCTCTCCAAAGCCACCACATCCTTCTGGTAGTGTGGCGACCAGAAGTGAACACAATATTCCAAATGTGGCCTAACTAAGGTTCTATAAAGCTGCAACATTACCTGCCAATTCTTAAACTCAATGCCCCGGCCGATGAAGGCAAGCATGCCATAGGCCTTGTTGACTACCTTTTCCATCTGCGTTGCCACTTTCAGTGACCTGTGTACCTGTACACCCAGATTCCTCTGCCTATCAGTACTCTTAAGGGTTCTGCCATTTACTGTATATTTTCCATCTGGATTAGACCTTCCGAAATGCATCACCTCAAGTTTTTCTGGATTAAATTCCATCTGCCATCTCACTGCCCAAGTCACCAACTGATCTATATCCAGCTGTATCCTTTGACGGTCCTCATCGCTGTCTGCAATTCCACCAACCTTTGTGTCATTGGGAAACTTACTAATCAAACCAGTTACATTCTCCTCCAAATCATTTATATATATTACAAACAGCAAAGATCCCAACACTGATCCCTGCGGAACGCCACTAGTCACAGCATATCATTCCATGAGTAATTGTACTGTACACTGGATTTGGTGTTCTGCATTTTAAAACAAATTTTTTTTGACAATATTGAAATTATGTTCTTTCCTGGTGTCTATAAGCCCACTGGTACAATGTTGCCTATGGCAGGGCTTGTACAGTTATACCCTTGAACGAATGTTTCTCCATCTTCAAACCGCCCCACACCTTTTAGATACTGGCCTGGCGAGGTTTATTTAAATGCACAGCTAATGCTGAACAACACTTGGTGTTCTGCCCTAACAGAACTGGATGACTTCATATCACAGAATACACTGTTGCAGAGGTGGGATTTGAACAGGCGAACAAACTTTGTGCTCTCATTCTGGTCTCAAATTCCACACATTTTTGATCCACTTCTTGGCAAACTGCCCAGCGATCTTGTCTAGTGCGTTGGTGTGGCAATGCCTTTCTGAAACTTCTTTTTGGGGAGAGCTTTAGTAGGATGTGGGCATCATTAGTAAGTCATCATGTTTCCCCATTGTGTCCCACAAGGATGACTACTGGGACCCTTACTGTTTGTTATAAACATAGATGATACAGATGAAAATGTAGGGGGAATGTTAAGCATATTTGCAGATGACACCATGATTGATATTGTGGTTAACAGCGAAGAAGTTGGTGGTAGGTTAGAGGAAGATATAGATGGGTTGGTCAGATGGGCAGAGCAGCGGCAGATGGTATTTAACTCTGATAAGTGTGAGG